ATGACCACTAAACTGGTAGCATGGAAGTCCTGAGAGAGCTTGGAAAGAGCAGTTTCAGATGAGGGGTACAAGATAAATTCTGATTGGAGTGGGGGCAAAAAGAAGGAGAAGAGAGAAACTGGAGCAACATTTTCAAGAAGTTTTGCTTAAAGGGAAGGGCATAAGTATGGTTTTGGCTGACATGTAACTCTGGTCTAAAGAACATTTTCCATTTGTTTTGTTTTTTCCCAAGTTGGAGGATAGAATGCCATGGTTATAAGCTACAGGAATGATCCAGTTGTGAGGGGGAATATTGCTAATGGAGAGAGAAGAAAGAATTTTGTCCACAGTAATGTCCATTAATAGTTGAGGGGGTGAGAAAGGAAGCGCATAGTTGGCCTTAGTTAGGACAGATACTGATACAGGAAAAAAGGTAACGTACACAGGCCTGGATATAAACAGGTGGGAGAATGTGGTAGTTGAAGTATGTGGCAGTTCTACTCATTACTTAAACTTTCTGAATGAAGTAGCAATAAAAGTTATCTTCTGAGATGAAGAAAGGAGGGATGACAGTGGATTTGGGGAATGAGAAATAAATGAGAAAGAATCATCTCATTAAGTGAGAGAGAGACTGGGCTAGTTACAGAATATAAAATATCATTACCAGGCAGCATTTCGGGCCCACCTAAGATTATCAGTCATCAAGTAAGGAGATTAGTAAATCCTACAGTGTGGTTTACATTCTGCCATGGAGATAAAGGAACTGAGCTGATGACTTTAGCTAGAGTTCTGGTTTCATCAAGAGATACAAAAAAAATTAATGGTAGGTAGGTGAGTTAAGAATGTATGCAAGAAACTTACAATCACTGAATCTGAAATTTAGCTAGGTAAGGAAGTGAAGCTGGTATGGAAAGCAGTGATAGATGAGGCAGTATATCAACAGCTTACCAGTACCAATGGAGCTAAAGGATTATTACAGTTGCAATACTACAAAATAATGAGGTGGAAGATAGGACATGGTGATTGAGGAGTAATTATTTAAAAATTGAGATTATTTGAAAGCTATTGATAATGACAAGTTGAAGGATGAGAACATGGGAGTTAGGGATCTTCTGGAAGACAAGGAGTGGGGAAGAAACTGGATGATAATAACGGTGATGATAGCTATTGTTACATTCATTACCTTTTTTCAATTACAACATAGTGCCTGTATTGAATATATAATTTTCCCCATATTGTAGAAAAGCACTAAAGTTTTAGAAGGGATGGGCAACATGCTTAAGGAGATACTAGAAACAGGACATTCTTAGGTCTGACATCAAATATATACTTTTGTTCACTATTTTATTTTAGTGATAAAAGAAAGTTATGCTACTATGACTGGTCCTTTTCAATAACAAAAAGATATACATTTCTGTTGGTATGGGTATTAATTATGCTCTCACAAGACTAAAAATCTATTTGAATAAAACATAGACTAAATTCATGAAAGTGTACTTAAAGAAAGAAAAAGGCCTAATAAATTTTAGTCAACTATAAATACATAAATAACAATTGACAATAACTAAAAAAAATTCCAGAGCTGGGCACAGTGGCTCACATCTGTAGCCCCAGCATTTTGGGAGTAAAAGTCGGTGGATCACAAGGTCAAGAGATTGAGACCATCCTGGCCAACAGGGTGAAACCTCATCTCTACTAAAAATACCAAAATTAGCAAGGCATTCTGGCATGCACCTGTAGTCCCAGCTACTTGGGAGGCTGAGGCCGAAGAATCTCTTGAACCCAGGAGGCGGAGGTTGCAGTGAGCCAAGATCACACCACTGCACTCCAACCTGGCCACAGAGCAAGAATTGTCTCAAAAAAAAAAAAAAAAAAAAAAAAAAAAAAGAAAGAAAGAAAGAGAAAAAAGAAAAAAAGGCAATTCCAAAATGGAACAAATTGATTATCTTTCCAATTCTGTGTTCTTTAGACAGCAATCCCATAATAAGACATCAATAAACTGATGGAATATACAGCTATTGCACATGGCACCAACCTCAAGGAATTAAGAAAGAAAAGAAGAGTCATGAGGCATTTGTATTCCAGAAAAGTTAACAAAAACATGAGATTAAAAGTCAGATAGACCTAGGTATGAGTCCTGTTTCCAATATTTATTTAGAAGATTAACATGTTTATTCTTAGCAAATTCAAAATAACAGCAATCCTCAATAAGTGTGGATTGATATGAAATATACATTTAATACCTTTGTTTCCCTTTATACCTACAGCTATCACTAATGAATTTATCTAAAGTTTATTTATTATAAACAGTTACAAAATTTGGTTTAACTCAAATAAGCCAAATTTTATAACATAAATTATTTATTGGGATCATAAATTTTGTATATTTTCCCCTTATGTTATAAAATAGATCTTTTTCAGGCTTCTTGGGCCCTACTTTTCTGTCTTTTTTCCAACTGCAATTCCAATATTATGGAATTTAATTAACACATCTCTTCATATAATCTACACTCTTCAGGATTTCATATTGTTTTATTATATCTCTTTTTAGACTTGATATTTTTACCCTGTAAAGATAAAATCTGATTTGTCTCTCTTATTAGAAGAGAGATTCTCTATTTCAAAAACAAACATGAATTCACAAATATGTGCTTCTGATGATCTTAGCTTCTCTGTTTTAAATTTTCTCTGGGTGCATCATGTTATGAAGAATGGTGCTCATTTTGTGCACCTAATGTGTTAGTCTTTTTGAACACAATACACAGCTATTCACAGCAAAAGGTGGTAAAGCACAATGACCTCTCTAATCACAGTGGTTTTGCAATTTATACATTTTCATATGTGATGAGTTTTCTTAGTCTAGTGCATTGATAAAAAACAACAAAAGTGGGGGAATGGGATCCTAGATGATGGCACATAAAGCCTGGACTAAGTGTTAAAATATCTAATTTAGACAGTGTCTAGAAGCAGCACAGGCTAAAAGTGGCCAGAGTAACAGAAAGATGGATCATTCTTTCTCCTTATATTTTTTTTGGCTGAAATATAAGGCAAAGCAGGCACTTCATTCCTTCGTATCCATCTTTCCTAGTTTCCATGCTATAGAAGCTGCCATATCTTTGTATAAATTTGAATTAAAAAAAAAAAAAGCTTAAATAAGCTCAATGCTAGAATATAACCTTAACATAAACAGGTTGAGATGGTAAGACATCTGCACCTAGATAACCACACTGTTCTTTCTTATCCTGTTTAATTATGAGACATGAGCTAATCAATAGGGTTCAGAAATATTAGCTCATAAAAATAAACTATGGGCATTTTATGTATAATGAATTGAAGCAGAGAGGTATTGAGTATCTTCCTCAAATTCCAATTAGAAGGTAGCAGCACTGAAATCTGAACACAGCCAAATTTTCCATTCCCTACCACTATTCCACTATGTCAATGCTCTTAAAAAACGAAAAAAAGAGGAAAAGAAAAAAAAACAGGCAAAAAAATTGTTTAGGTATTTAGTTAAAAACATGAGTTACTCATCTCTGAAAGCTTTTGGTATGCTTTAAAACAAGACTGTATGTAGGATCTTTATTTAAAATCAATGATTAAGCTCTCCCAAGGAATAAATGAAAGAGACTGCCAGTGGAAAAAGGAACACTGCTTAGAAAAAAATCACCACAACAAATAAAGAGTTATATTTGGAATATTACATAAGTATCATTGAAGCTAAAAATAGCACTTGTATATGTAGCTAATTTAATTTGGACCTTATTAAATTTATTCTATGGTTTATAAATATTTATGACTTAGCTAAAGCAATAAAAAAGAACTGTCTGAAACCAAACAGAAATTTAGATACTTTGTGAGATGTGTTGCTCTGACTACTACTGACTCTCCTAAGAGAGCATGAAAGTCTGCAGAAAATATATTTTGTAAAAGGTATTTATGTTTCCAATTTTGTTTCTTCACAAGTAGGTAGAAAAAATTCTAAATATAATTGTTCAACATTCGCTGTTATTTCCTTCAGTAAACCAAAGAGAATAAAACCACCCAGATAAAATAAGAGATTACAAAAATAAACTTAAAATATAAAGTGAATAAAAACCTTTCATTTTTTCTCCCACATTCGTATTTTGGCATGATTATAGGGCACAGAGGTGAGGCTATTTTGTCAGGAAAAGCAGTTTCACAAGCATGCACGAATTGCCTCAGGCTTCCAGTTCAATTGTTTCTGATCTAATATGGGAGCCAACTCTAAGGGGCAGAGGTTATGTTGCCTTTGAAAAGTTTTATCCAGCTTCCAAAACATATCATATTTGATTTAAGGAATACCATTAAGTAATATTTTTGCCACGACATGGAGGTACTTAATATTTCTCGTGAGAAGCAGTGTTCATAAGAAGGGCTTGTAGTTCATTCTATTGGAGCCATCTGATTAAACTTGTTTTTCTTTATCTGAAAGTGCCAAACTAACTCTATGTAGATATTTTACATATATTTTAAACTAATCATGAAATACTCCTGGCGCCCAAGAGGTATTTGGAAAGTTAATGACAACCTCTGCGTATTCAAGGACACTCTAACAAGGTTATTAAAATTCAACCCTTTGCATATTTCTGATGGAGGTGGGGAAAAGTTTGTCTCACACAACAAGAGACTAAGAATACAAAGAGAGGCTTTAAAAGACTTTTCAGTCTCTAGATCCATGTTCAGTCTTTGGAAGATGATAGAAATCTGAAACATTGAGTAATATCTGTTTAAATAGCAGCTTCTACGTCCCAGTTCTTGCCCAGAAGTCCAGTAAGCAACCATTTGTTGTTTGCTACATAGGCCTTACAACTGCCATTGCCCAAATGCCTATCATTTCATCTTCCCACCAATATCACAGCAGCTTATACCAGCTGAGATAAAATTCAAAATGTTTTGAACTTACTGTTTTTCCTAATAGGGCCAAAAAACAGGACCAAAAAGATACTTTAAATGCCTATGATTTCTAGATGATTCTTTTATTTATTTATTTTTATTTATTGTGAGACAGGGTCTTGCTCTATTGCCCAGGCTGGAGTGAAGCAGTGCCATCTCAGGTCACAGCAACCTCCCTTCCTGGGCTCAAGTTGTCCTCTCACCTCAGCCTACTGAGTAGCTGGGACCGCAGGCACACAGTACTATACTCTGCTAATTTTTTGTGTTTTGGGTAGAGGCAGGGTTTCACCACATTGTCCAGGCTGGTCTTGAACTCCTGTACTCAAATGGTCCTCCCGCCTTGGCTTCTCAAAGTGCAGGGATTACAGGAATGAGCTACTGCACCAAGCCGATTCTTGTATTTCTATATCAATGTAAGTCATATACATGAACACTGGATTATCTGGTAGAAGATTGGAAAAATTAAAAGAAACCCCAAATCACCTGCAAACACATCGTATTTCTCCCTTTGCTTCTCTTTGTTCACTATCCAGATTTCTCTCATGGTCCTATTTACAGATGCTCTTTACTCATCATATAAAGGGAAGAGATAAATCTGAAGTACATCAGAGTTCTATTTATTGGTTTTATTCTTTTTCAGCCTTCTAAGAATGCACACTCATTTCCTGGGGTGCTGAGAAAATATACAGGTTGCTTCCACTGACTGCCGCTAATCCAATAATCGATTGCATGTGATGCAGGGCCGAAGCAGAAAACCATAAGCCAACAGAATGCTACAGTCATGCGCAGCTCACTCTAATCAGAATAATTCAAAGCTGTGGATCAACAGTTGTTCATCAGTTTTCAAAAATCCATCAAAACTTCCACAGAAGCTTTCCAAAACTTCACACTTAACACCCTTCCAGTGATTAGGACTATTCTAAGTGTAATTATTATTACTTTTATAGCTTAAGGGAGTTGTGTTCCACGTCAGTAAAGTCCAGGGTGATAACACCTATCTACAAAAATTCTAAGGTAAATAAGTTTTGCAGTTGTGCAGGCTTATCCAATTCTTATGAACAACAGATAATGATATATTCATTTTGACACGTAACCTATAGACATCTAAATGCAAATTCCCCCATGAGTGACTAGTAAAACCCAACATATTTTTATTCTTGAAACTAACATATTAATCTCTTTTAAAAAACTAGAGTAGTAAGTGCTTATTATTAATACTTTGTCTCTTCAGAATCCTTCCTTCCTCAAGGAACAGTAGTGCCCTTCCATTAGGGAACTGCTCCTTTCCTATCTCAGATACATAGCTTCGCTCAGGCTGCCAATGTCAGTCCCTCATTCATCCACTGCCTGCAGGGCAAATACAAAGTAGGCCATGTCCCAGTGATCTTCCTTAGAATTGGTCAAAGTATAACTTAGGGAATAGTGGCAGTCTTCCTAGTGTCAAATTTGAGCTGAAGATGAGGCTGAAATGTTGGTAAGCATCTTCCTTGTGCCAGGGGAAGAATAGCAATATAAATAAACAAAGCTACCCTCTGAAGAAGCAGAAGAGAGTTCAAAATGCTGGGCAAATAGAATTACCGGTGCTAGTTGACCTGGAAGACATTGGTATCTGTGCCTCTCCTCTGATTTATAATGTGAACACTTCTCTTTCGGCTTTAGGATATTTGTATCAGGTTTCTGTCATTTGCAACAAAAACACAACTGCATAAAGTGAGTGATGACATAATAATATATTTTAGAAAACTTTTAAGCCAAAAATCAGGAAAGATAGTCTTATTCTTGTCAAGTCATAAATTAATAAATAGGTTCTTTTTATACATCAGTGAAAAGTTCACTGTCTAAGGCATACATATCATTCAGCAAAGATTTCAATAAAGGTTCTTAAAATTTTCTGTTGAAAATAACATTTAGTAACTATCTGATATTATTTGCACCAGATTATCAGCCCTCTGTAGGGAAAGTATATCCTGGAACAATTTCAAAGGCTCTAAGCACACTTCCAATCTGTCAATGATCTCTGCCTCCTTCATCCCTGTTTTGGAAGAGACAAACAGATTTCATCATAGAAAGCTCCAGGGCCATGACTTCATTCCGACTTTGTGTTTTTGAAGTCCTTGCCTATCAATTTTATTCCACAGAAACTGGCAACAATAATATCCACTCACAACTTCTTTTTCATTTGAGATACCAAAGGACACCTCTTTTCTGAAGAGATCTGATAAAGTAGCACTTGTACATTCTCACAAGATAATATAAGCTAAATCGACTAAGGATATCTCATAATGTGTTCTCATCCCATGTAATAATTTATGTAACTTATACTATAGTTAAACAATAAACCGACCCTTCATGTTTGCAATGATTAGTATAGTCTATATAATTGTAGAGAAAGGGAACGTGCATGCCAGATCAAACCACCTTGTCCAGGAGGTGTCCAGAGTGACATATGTCCTTCCACTTATAGTTCATTGGCCTGAACTAGTCACTTGGTCTCAGCTTAAGGGGAGGAAAGCTGGGAAATATAGAGGAACACATGGATAGATGGTGAGCATAATAGTTTCTGCCACACTGTAACATATTTCCTAGAAAGCTTTAGTAATATTTATATCCAAGGATGAAAAAAAATCTAACATGCCATAGATATAAGAAGTCCACAGCCTACTTGCACAGGACTGTCCACGTGCACCTGGTATTTTTTGCTTTTTATAAATCTAATATGAAAGCCATAGCTATCTCAAACATAGGAATGGAATGACTTTTCCTTTTTTACTGCTGCTAAGATATTGCACAGTATGAATTATTTTAATAGCCTCCCTCATTCTGCAAAATATTAGGGCACAACATAGAATAATATAGTGAACTTATATAAAACTTTAAGTGAATAGAAAAATACACATTGTACATTATGATCACCAACCTGCTATGTTAAAACCTTTTGTTTCTTGGTCTCCAGTAAAATAAGCTCAGTGTTCTAATGTTCAATCCCTGTGTAAAGTAGTCCATCACAAAACCATCACCCTCACTTTAGCACAATTGGCAGTCACTATTCACATAAAACAGAAAAATAAGTTACCACTGAGACAAAGCCAATTCTGCTCTCCAGAATGGCCGATTCTTCCAAGTCAGAAGAGATTTTTATCAGAAAAAAATCACATAAAGTACTCATAGAAACTGGCAGTCCAAAATCTGTAGTCAGTAACTGTATAGATAACCATGTATAGATTATCTCAATGGAATACAAAAAAAATATTGCACTAAAAGATAATCCTATGTAATCACTGTTTACAAAATAAAACCCAATGTCCTTCTAAACAGTGTAGAAAGTTTAAATTATCATATGTTTTCTGCCTCTACTTAGTGCTTTATTAATGAGGTGACCATGCTGTTTGACCTATTTGCTAAAATTTGCTAGACCTCCAGGAGAACATATGGACATCCAGATGGGTTGCTGTAATTTAATGCCATTATTCTAAGGATGAAGTAAGGTATAAACATAATTTGCATTCTTTTCCATCCTTCCTGCATACCTTTTATTAGTTTCATTTTTAATTCAGACATCAGAAGGGAAGATAATACTTTGCTACCAAAGCCCAGATGCCAACTAATTACTACAAGAGACTCCAGTCCTGACATCACAGGCCAAGACTCTGAACACGCTCTGTCTTACTCAGTGACCCCACAGTAGTGATTAATAGGTTGAGTGCTAAGCCCTAATGAGTGTGTCAGATCTTAGGTGTTCTCTAGGCTAATGCAATTAGCATTGAGTTGAACAGAATATTTCAGCTACTTGCTAGAGAGACTCATTATACTTTACAGTAAACTATGCCTTTTCACCTTATGGTCTTTAAATTTATTTTATAATCATCAATCTAATAGACTCCTATAAATAGTGATATTTCACATACTAGTAGAAAATTTAAGTATTTTTAAATCAAATACTGATTTTCTTCTACAAGCGTGAACCCCTATGTTGTATATAAAGTGAAGTTGTTTTCAGAGACACTTGTTAAAATTCAAGTTTCTGAACTCTAGCAACAGAAATCCTTATAAAAGGGGATTTAGGATAAGGCCTAGGACTGCATTTTTAACAAGATTCATGATTCAGAAGCAAAGCATTCTGTAGACCACACTTGAAGAAAAACTGCAGTGTAACAGGACTAATACCTGTGTCTTAGATTAACTGACTATATTAGACTTTTTGTTCTAAATAGTTAATATGTTTCTGAAAAAATTATCTGCATCTGCATTAAGAAAATTGTTTCCACATCAGATTATAATTTTAAATGTGCCAATAATTTTTTGGTTAAAAGATTAGAAACGAATTATCAGGGTAAGACATAGATGTTATTTCCAACAAACTATGTAAACTTATAAGATCTATATTCAACAGCGGACATGGCAAGTAAAAACATTTCATTCACTAGACAATGGGCCTAGAATTGTGTTTCCAGTTTTAAAAGAAGGACCAAAGGTGAGCAGAACTTCTGCAATTCCTGACTTTTCTCCATGGCCAGAGATAAAATATGTTTACATATTTTAGCCCTGATAACAGAGGACTTTAGGCAATATTTCAAGTACTTACTTGTATCTCACCTAGATATAACCATCATCAATTACTACATACTAAGAATTTGTATGTATCTAGAATTACTTTCACAAAACAAGGATACATAAAATCCCTATTCATATTTAACTTAGACATTCTTTATTTATCTATTACCCTAAAAATTTTAAGGCAGCTTTTCCCAAATTTATAACTGTTTTAACAAACTACCATTCTCTTCTTGAATTTCAAGAGTTCTTTTGTGCTTTTATACCATATATTTATACATATATTAAAAATTTATATTTACACCATATATTAAAATAGAAAAAAAGTATGAATAAAATTAAAATACCATATATTAAAATTTATACCATATATTAAAATAGAAAAAAAAGTATGAATAAAATTAAAATATTTATTTGTAGTAAATATAGTATGGTTATTTACTTATTATAATTTCATATTGAGATTTAGTGGTTTGAAAAAGTTAATTATGCCATTGTTTATTCTAATGTTCCTTTTGGATCCAGTCAGAGGGTGGAGTGCTGTCCTATGACCATGGCAAGTCTATAAACGCATGCTTTTTTTTCTATGGTGAATGTTGAGATTTCGAGCTCTGTCTAGGACTGGCTGGATGTTATGTATTTCTGTTTTTTTCCTTTAGGAAGGCTGCATTTCCCAGCATCCATGCCCCCTGACTCTGGGTAGGGCAGTATAAGAGTTCTGATCAATGGAATATACACAGAAATAATGTTTATTCCTTCCAGGCCTACCATCTAAAATATTCCATGTGATCTTACATGCTGTCTGCCTTCACTCTTTGTCCAGCAGATGGAGCAGATTTAGGGAACAATATACAAAGCCTTAAGTGATGAAATAACCACCTGTTGAAATATTGCTTCAGCAAGAAATAACATGTATTGTTTTACAGCATGTAAGATCATTTGGAATAAGTCTTTGAGACACTGAGGTCTGAAAACGAATAGAGAAAGTAAATTAAGATCTGACTTAACTAAAACACTATATAAAATTATCTTCTACTGATGAGTATCAACTCTCTGCTCAATAAGAAATTATGACTATACAAGACCTGAAGACAAAATTCATTGGACCCATATTAATTCACTAGAAAAGACTGTTTGAATTGTATTTAAGAAGAAAAAAAAAAAACCCTACATATCTTAACATGAGCGCCTTTTGGAGCTCAAGTCAAGATGACTATGTGCTGCTCTAGCTAAGCATCATTAAACAAGACCTGACCCACAGGATAGAGGAATATCTGCTCTACAATACCTACAGTTTCTATAGTCACAAGAAATAACATTCTTACAATCTATAAAGCAACTGTCCAAAGGAGATTCACAGAATGTATGTTAGAAGCAGAATTTTTAATTGACATGCCCAAATAGCATTTAAAGGACACTTTTTGATACTGGGGAAAAAAAATGCATGTTTAACCTAACCAAATGGATAAGGGAAACATATGCTGTATTAATACAAAATCACTATATACAAAAAGTAGAAAACACATTCCAACACCAACTCACATAAACACACACACACACACACACACACACACACACACACACACACACAGAATTGTTTCAGGATCAAATGTTTACCTTTGTAGTACAACAAAAATATAATGTTCTAAAGAATAATTATGTCACTGAAAAAATGATGTTGGTAGAAATGGTATACAAGCCACTGAACTGAAGTGGAAACAATAATAAATCAGGTTTATAGAAGGCCTGGGCCAAACCTGGCTCTGTCACTCTTTAGATGTAAAGAGAAAGATGTGAGAAAGTCAGAGACCATAGGTATTAAATGCTTGGAGCTGCAGTCTCTATTTGCCACTAACAAGCTGTTTGACTTGGGAGAGCTATTTTATCTATTTCCTCAGCTATGGAATAAAGAGAAGATAACACGTTTTTCACGGATCATTAAGAGGATTAAGTCATATCACACATATTAAGTACTTAGGCCTTGGGTGAAAGTAAATATTAATAAATACTGGATATTATGCTAATGTTATATCTCCATAACTAAGAGCCATATTATCCTTACTTGAAAAATAATAAATTGCAGAAGATAATTGATATAATTTCTTTCAATTACTATAGTCCGAGTCTATATCTATCCTTTAAAGTCAAATATCCGCTTGAAAAATAAAAACTCTAAAAGACATATTTTAAGTAATGACTTTCAAAAGATTCTATAAGATGGTCTGGTCTGCTATTGGGATTGACTTAAAGAAAATAAGTGACATAATAAGGCACTAGTAATTCCAATTTTTTCAGCATTTAGAAGTGTGATGGTATTTTGATTTATGCATTATCCTTCATGACTCATACCCTAATTTGAACATAGAATGTAATAAGATAATTGTCAGGCAACCATTTAAATTAAGAATATGTCATATTTAATGAGTCTTATAGAGATAAATAATTATTTCAATCACACAAATTTGAATGGGTCTAGAATGTACATGTTAACCCTTCATTTTGCAGCTTAAAGTGATGTACTTTCTGTGCTTCTAAACTGTCAGCAACTTAAATTTCCTTCTCATTCAGAAGAAAGCATTTCTACCAGAGGTAGCAACAATGAAAAATGACACGAGCACTATAATGTGGACTTTATTTCAAACTAAATGAAGTAGCTTCAATTGGAAATTCCATAATTTAGTAAATCTTGCTTTGTGTTTACAAATGCTTATTCAAACAAATCCTCTACTAAGACTCAATTATAAGCGAAGAGCTCAAGATGTTGAATCACTAAAATCATTGAAAGTTCAGTTCTAATTATACTTTTGATTGGTTTTAAGTGATTATAACATAAAAATGGGGTTTTAATATACCAAGACACAATATGTAAAACATTGTGACATGAAGGAATTGTTTTCTTAATTCAGGATTCTATTTATTGCAAGAAGCTTACCTCCTGCGTACATAACAGCCAGCATAATGGATGATATCCATGCTATTTCACTGTAGGTAGTATGGAATATTTGCTGAATTTCTTTGAAGAATACGGTGACGGCTTTGGGGAATGCGTAGGAAAATCCAATGGAGATAAAAGCTGCTCCAACCACAATCCAGCCCCATCCTCCATCTGGAGGTGGATGCAGAGGCGGGGCACTTGACATTGGTGGCATTTCTGCTCCTCTAATGGAAATTCAAGTAACCTATATTAAAAAAATGAAATAACGCTTTAAACTTTATTTCCCCTTTTGTTTACCACTCTTGATAGTGACTAATACAGTATTTTCTAGTTCAAACTAAAATACGATTTTTCATGAATATTTTTCATACTTATACTCAGAATATATACCGAAAAATTGATGCAAGTTATATATCTTTGATTATTATAGGCTAAATATTGAAAGAATTTAATTTGATTATTGAAACAAAAATTACTCAAAATGAAGTTAAGAATTTAGATCTGAACTGAAGTACCATGTTACACTATACATCAGACATATCTCTAAGATATATCTCATACATATTCTACTTCAGTTACCAGTTGTTTTAACCTCATTAATCAACACATAAGATCTCATTTTTCCTTCCTGTTTAAGGCTAGGCCAATGAATGAAATGATGCTTGCATAGCCTTTTGACATGATCTACTGGCTTTTTTCATTGCTTTCTATTGTCTACCCTTTTTGATGATTGTAGAGAAATTCTAACCCACTATTTTTTTTTTTTTTTTTTTTTTTGAGATGGAGTCTGGCTCTGTTGCCCAGGCTGGAGTGCAGGGGTGCAATCTCGGCTCACTGCAACCTCCGCCTCCCAGCTTCAAGTGATCCTGCTCCCTCAGCCCCCCTAGTAGCTGGAATTAGAGGCAGGCATCACCATACCCGGCTAATTTTTGTATTTTTGGTACAGATGGTGTTTCACCATGTTGGCCAGGCTGGTCTTGAACTCCTGACCTCAGGTGATCCACCCTCCTCAGCCTTCGAAAATGCTGGGATGCTGAGATTACATATGAGAGCCACTGCACCCAGCCCCCACTATTTTTTAAAAATAAAAATTATAGGCCGGGCGAGGCGGGTGGATCGCAAGGATAAGTTTGAGACCAGCCTGGTCAATATGGCAAAACCTCAACTCTATTAAAAATGCAAAAGTTAGCTGGGTGTGGTGGCACACGCTCGTAGTGCCAGCTCCTCGGGAGGCTAAGGCAGAAGAATCACTTGAACCTGGGAGGTGGAGGTTGCAGTGAGCCGAGATCATGCCACTGCACTCCAGCCTGGTGACAGAGCAAAACTCCGTCTCTAAATAAATAAATAAATAAATAAATAAATAAATAATATTTAAGTTATAAAACATGATGCTTTGTTATACATATTCATAGCAAAATGATTACTACAGTTAACCTTATTAATATACCCCTTTCCTCATAGAGTTACCGCTTTTCTTTTTTGTGCTCACAACACCTGAAATCTACACTGTTGGCAAATTTACAGTATATTATACAGTATTACTGACTATACTTATCCTACAAAACTGCAACTTTGAACCCTTTACCAAACATCTCTCTGTTTCTTCACTTCCCCAACCCTGGTAACCAACGTCTGTTCTCTGCTGCTGTGAATTTGACTGTTTTGGATTTCACATACAAATGAGATCAGGAAATACTTGTCTTTCTGTGTCTGGTTTATCTCACTTGGTATAATGTCCTCTAGGTTTATCCATGTTGTCACAAATGGCAGATCTATCTGGCTACTCCTGAATTCGATCAACAACTACATTTTCTTTCTTTTAATTTCTAACATTATAAAGTTATATTATAAAAGAGGGCTCTCCAAACTTTTCTTGTATCCTAACACAGTTATTAATAATTTTGCATATTTCTTTTCATTATTTTTCTATATTCAAAGATTTCTGATTAATTGAAATAATGTGGTGATCCTACAAATTACAGATACAATTGTGAACACTGCTTTTTTCACATTATGATTTTTTAATTAATTGCCTTTTTTACTAATTTTCACCTTTTGGCTATACAATTTTTACACAGTATGTAAAATACAAAAAGTATAAAACACAATTGCCAAATAAAGCTGGGAGTGACGGCTCACACCTGTAATCTCAACACTTTGGGAAGCTGAGGTAGGAGGATATCTTGAGTCCAGGATTTCAACACCAAAGCAACATAGTGAGACCCACCGCTTGACAAAAAAAAATCTTAAAAATTAGCTGGGTGTGGTGGTGTGTACATGTAGTTTCCAGTTACTCCAGAGGCTGAAGGGGAGGATCGTTTGAGCCTAGAAGTTCAAGGATGCAGTGAGCTCTGATAGAGCCAGTGCACACCATCCTGGGTGACAGAGAGAGGCCCTATCCCTAAAATTTTTTTTTCACTAAAATGAAATAGCTAAATAAGACTTTTAATTGCCACAATAATTTATATAGAAAATACATCCTTTTTAATCGTTTTGTTTTTTCTTATAAATATTTTACATCTTATTTATATAATCGTATATTAAAAATTAACATTTTTATATATTTACTTGTATCTATTAAATATTTATGGGTACAATGTGAGACTTTGATATCTGTTTATTTTTTTAAAAGCAGTCTCAAATTATTCTTTTACAGGAAGTACTGGTATAAATGATAAATATACCTACAATTCTATTAGACAATGTAGTGAAAAAAATTTTGGGAATTGTTAAATGGTATGAGAAAGGCAAATCCTTTCGATTTTTCCAAGAAAATACAATAAAGTAAATTTAAAGTTATTCCTGACTAAATACACACAGACAAAATATGGCAGTAGATACAGTGGCATTAAGTTGATGGAATAGTTTCAAGAGTTTAAATCACTCGTCTTATTGAATTAATGCATGATACTAAAAGTAACCTATAATGTAATATATAGGTGTACAAAAATGGATAAAGGGATCTCAATAAATATTGTGTACTTATTATGCTAAATAAATGCTTTTATCTTTAGTAAGTATTTATTCAGTTTTGTTTCAACAAAAACCTTTAAGGTATTTTTTCTATTTTTTTATATGTGACAAATTTCAGAAATATTGACAAACCTGACCCAAGTGAAATAGTAATGGCAGGGACTGTATTTTACTAATCACAGCTGACTTTACAAATTATATAAATAGAATTAGGAATAAGACTATGGAGTATAATGCAATTTATGGAGGAAAAAAACTCAGCATTTTTATTATCTCCTCTTTGCATATCTATATTATTTTTATGGATCAAAATGGTCAAAGGTATCCAATTTTCAAAAAATGAAGAAAATAACTTGAAAGATTATTTCCATTGGATACATTTGTATGTCAGAAGCCTATCAAAAAAAAATGTCATGGAAACTATAGTGACAAGGTCAGATGAAAGGCTTTAACCACAAACAAATAATGCAAATAATGTCGATCCCAGCCAATCACAATCATCGGGGCAAAGCCACTTCTATAAGTTAATGTTGTGCAAATGCTAAAATTGCTAAAATCAACCCTAAACACCACACCTCTCAAGAATTATTTTGAGATGGTTTGTATGTCTTCAGTATGTGTACAGTCTGCTTTTGTAATCATTTTTGCTTTCTTGGAAACAGGAAAATTATCTGTCTTCTATCTATTCATCTATTAATTTGAAGATCGGTTTATTTCTCCTTGGTCATCAGTTAACCTAACTTGATGAGTTTACAGCACATGTGCATTGGAAATAGTATCTTTGAAGATGTATAATATTTAAGGAAAAAATAAAACGAAATAAATATTGTAAATATTAATGAAACCAGCTGAAAATAGCAAAAGAAATTTGAAAGTGGGCTAAAGAATCTGAGTCTCTATATTACTAAATTTTATTACAATATTTTAAAGTACCTATTTTATTGCTTGAAAATTTACAAAAGAAACCCTAGAAGAATACTGAAGAAATACCAAAGGACATTTATGTGGTAAACTACACTTTGTTGTATAATCAGCATGTAAAAACAGTTATGAGGCTCAAAGTCCTCACTCTGCAGTTTTCCTGCTTGCATAAAGGAAACTAAACCCTCTTTTATTACTAATTCATGAGTTTAAACTATTGTCATTTTTATCACATCTGCTATAGTAAACATTGAGAAATACAACTGGATGATTTATTTTTCACTTACTTCGAAGATCATAAGTAACATTTCCAAGCAATCTTAAACCCATATTTTAAAATAATGATATCAATACAAATATTGTAATTTATTAATATTCAAATCATGATATAAATACAGATACTGAAACTTATTAATGATGTTGGGATTTCCATTTTACAGACAGGAAACTATGCCCATAGGAAAGCAAAGAGTGTGTGTAGGCTCATACAATAAATAGATGTCAACACTGGTATAAATTTTATGAATTAGAATTTTCTCAGCATTTAAATATGCCCCAACTTAAGAAAAATATCACTCTTATATTAAAATAATTTGAACTTATATGCCCATTAAAAGGCATATATATATTATATAAATATACTTATTAGTGATATTTTTCTT